CGATCGGCTAGGAAGTTCTTACGGGCTTAAGGTTTAGGGGGGAAGCACGGCCGATTGGCCTAGGAAAGCACGGTTTTAGTTTTAAGTGGACACATGGCGATCGGGCTAGGAAGCCACGGATTAGGTTAGGGTAAGCAACTGCGAATCGGCTAGGAAGCACGGTTCAGGTTTAGGGAAATAACACGCGCGATCGGCTAGGAAGCACGTGCTTTAGTTGTTTAGGAAGCACGGCGATCGGCTAGGAAGCACGGCTTAGGTTTGGAAGCACGGCCTTAGGTTTAGGGAAGCACGGCGATCGCTAGGAAAGCACGTCTTAGGTTAGGGAAGCACGAACGATCGGCTAGGAAGGCACTGCCTTAGGTTAGAGAAGCACTGGCGATCGGGCTAGGAAGCACGCCTTAGGTTAGGGAGCACGACGATCGGCTAGGAAGCACGGCTTAGGTTTGGGAATCACGGCGACCGGCTAGGAAGCATTGCTTAGGTGGCGATCGGCTAAGAAGCATGGCTTAGTTTAGGGAAGCACGGTGATCGGCTAGGAAGCACGGCTTAGGTCAGGGAAGCACTGCGATCGGCTAGGAAGCACGTGTTAGGTTAGGGAAGCACGGCGGTCGCCTTGTAAGCACTGCTTAGGTTAGGGAAGCAACGGTTTAGGTTAGGGAAGCACGGCGATCGACTAGGAAGAACGGCTTAGGTTAGGGAAGCACGGCGATCGGCTAGGAAGCACGCCTTAGGTTAGGGAAGCACGGCGATCGGCTAGGAAGCACGGGTTAGGTCGGCTAGGAGCACGCGAAGGAAGCACGGCTTAGGTTAGGGAAGCACGGCGATCGGCTAGGAAGCACAGCTTAGGTTAGGGAAGCACGGCGATCGGCTAGGAAGCACGGCTAAGGTTAGGGACACGGCGATTAAGCACGGCTTAGGTTAGGGAAGCACGACGATCGGCTAGGAAGCACGGCTTAGGTTAGGGAAGCACGGCGATCGGCTAGGAAGCACGTTAGGTTAGGGAGCACGGCGATCGGCTAGGAAGCACGGCTTAGGTTAGGGAAGCACGACGATCGGCTAGGAAGCACGGCTTAGGTTAGGGAAGCACGGCTTAGTTTAGGGAAGCACGGCGATCGGCTAGAAGAAGGGGAAGCACGTAGAAGCAAGGTTAGGGAAGCACGCTAGGAAGCACGGCTTAGGTTAGGGAAGCACGCACGCGATCGGCTAGGAAGCACGGCTTAGGTTAGGGAAGCACGGCGATCGCTAGGAAGCACGGCTTAGGTTAGGGAAGCACGGCGATCGGCTAGGAAGCACGTTTTAGGTTATCGGCTAGGAAGCAGGCTTTAGGCGATCGGCTAGGAAGCACGGCTTAGCACGGCGATCGCTAGGAAGCACGGCTTAGGTTAGGGAAGCACGCGGCTAGGAAGCACGGCTTAGGTTAGGGAAGCACGGCGATCGCTAGGAAGCACGGCTTAGGTTAGGGAAGCACGGCGATCGGCTAGGAAGCACGGCTTAGGTTAGGGAAGCAGGTTAGGGAAGCACGATCGGTTAGGAAGCACGGCTTAGGTTAGGAAAGCACGGGCTAGTGGGAAGCACGGCGCTACGGCTTAGGTTAGGGAAGCACGACGATCGGCTAGGAAGCACGGCTTAGGTTAGGGAAGCACGACGATCGGCTAGGAAGCACGGCTTAGGTTAGGGAAGCACGGCGATCGGCTAGGAAGAGGTTAGAAGCACGGCTTAGGTTAGGGAAGCACGGCGATCGGCTAGGAAGCACTTAGGTTAGGGAAGCATAGCGATCGGCTAGGTTAGGTTAGGGAAGCACGGCGATCGGCTAGGAAGCACGGCTTAGGTTAGGGAAGCACGGCGATCGGCTAGGAAGCACGGCTTAGGTTAGGGAAGCACGGCCTAGGAAGCACGGCGATCGGCTAGGAAGCACGGCTTTAGGGAAGCACGCTAGGTTTAGGTTAGGGAAGCACGGTCGCTAGGAACACGGCTTAGGGGGAAGCACGGCGATCGGCTAGGAAGCACGCTTAGGTTAGGGAAGCACGGCGATCGGCTAGGAAGTTAGGTTAGGGAAGCACGACGATCGGCTATTAGGTTAGGGAAGCACGGATCGGCTAGGAAGCACGGCTTAGGTTAGGGAAGCACGGCGATCGGCTAGGAAGCACGTTAGGTTAGGGAAGCACGCGGCTAGAAGCACGGCTTAGGTTAGGAAGCACGGCGATCGCTAGGAAGCACGGCTTAGGTTAGGGAAGCACGGCGATCGGCTAGGAAGCACGCTTAGGTTAGGGAAGCATCGGCTAGGAAGCACGGCTTAGGTTAGGGAAGCACGGCGATCGGCTAGGAAGCACGGCTTAGGTTGGGAAGCACGGCGATCGGCTAGGAAGCTTAGGGGGATCGGCTAGGAAGCACGGCGATCGGCTATCGCTAGGAAGCACGGTTAGGTTAGGGAAGCACGGCGATCGGCTTAGGTTGGGAAGCACGGCTAGGAAGCACGGCTTAGGTTAGGGAAGCACGGCGATCGGCTATTTAGGTTAGGGAAGCACGGCGATCGGCTAGGAAGCACGGGGCACGGCTTACAATTAGGAAGGTTTTTTTGGTTTCTAAGTTAGGGAAACTCGGCGATCGGCTTGGAAGCATGGCTTAGGTTAGGGAAGCACGGCGATCGTATGGGGTCGGGGGGTGTAGCCCCCGGGTTTGGAAGTTTTTTTTTTTTTTTTCTATGGCTCCAGTTAGGGAAGCACGGCGATCGGCTAGGAAGCACGGCACGAGGAAGCACGGCTTAGGTCAGGGAAGCACGGCGATCGGCTAGGAAGCACGCACGGCGATCGGCTAGGAAGCACGGCTTAGGTTAGGGAAGCACGGTGATCGGCTAGGAAGCACTGCTTAGGTTAGGGAAGCACGGCAATCGGCTAGGAAGCACGGCTTAGGTTTGGGAAGCACGGTGATCGGTTAGGAACGTTTTTGGTTTGAATGACTATCTTTACAGGCGTTTATTTGTTTAGGCTGGGGTTCATTCGCGCAAAGCCGTGTCGAATCTTCCGAGGCCGAATCTCGGCTCGAGTTTTTCATTTCTTCACTTTCTTCATTATTTTAAATGCGATTATTCGGGTTTTTCATTTTTTTCACTTTATTATTTAAATGCGATTGGCTCGGGTTTTTCATTTTGCACTTTCTTTTACGTTCTAAATTACCTTCAAATATCCCTAAAAAAAAAAAGGTTATTTATCCTAGACGTCCACACGCTGCAGAGGGACGAGGTAGGCGGGCATTCGTCGCCACCCGCGCACTACTGCCAGCTGCACGTCTTGCAACTTCTCGCCTCACCTGGCGCCGTCGTGTCTGGCTTCCGGTTGCTAGGCAACTGGCCATTTTCTTTCATTCTCGGTGCCCTCGTGCTGACGCTTGCTTGTAAGGCATTGGCAACGAAAGACATACGCTTCACACACGAGCAGATCATTGACACACTTAACATGGCGAAAATTGTGCAACACTTCACTCTTCATTGAAGGGTCGACCAAACCCATCACAAGCAATCGCGTTAGCATAGAAGGCTACATCGACACCCTGGGCACTTCAATTCACACTCGATAGCTCGCGACCTGCTTTTGATTACGTAGTCACTGCTATTGTCACTACTTTCCTGGTTGTAGCTT